CCCTAAGTTTTAGTGAATATTGAAGTTGTGTCTCCCTAAGTTTTAGTGAATAATGAAGTTGTGTCTCCCTAAGTTTTAGTGAATAATGAAGTTGTCTCCCTAAGTTTTAGTGAATAATGAAGTTGTGTCTCCCTAAGTTTTAGTGAATAATGAAGTTGTGTCTCCCTAAGTTTTAGTGAATAATGAAGTTGTGTCTCCCTAAGTTTTAGTGAATAATGAAGTTGTGTCTCCCTATGTTTTAGTGAATAATGAAGTTGTGTCTCCCTAAGTTTTAGTGAATAATGAAGTTGTGTCTCCCTAAGTTTTAGTAAATAGTGATGTATATTTGATTACTTGAACATTTCTCTCATATATAAAACTTCTTATTTAAGTAGTCAATGTCACTAAATCCTAACATTATGACAGAACAGAACAGATGCAACCTACATGTACCCACTGCAAGTAAAGACTATCTACCAGTATTCCATTACGCTCTCTTCTTGAAGCCCACACAAACAAAGACATATCAAATAAATTATCTGGGTCATGTGACTTTGGCCAGTAGAGAATAATGCCCTACTTAACGAATGTTATCCTTGACAAGCAAAGAATAATGCCTTATACAATGAATATTACCCTTGACCAGCAGAGAATTATGCCCCACATGAGGTTGTAGTTATGAGATGCCACCAACAATATGTGCTACCCGTCTGGAGTGGTGTGTGAAAATTACCAAAAACACATTTCGTTTATTAGATTCATGTCAAAATCAAGTTGCTCACTTACTTGTTTATTTGTGCAGCTTATAATGTGGGACTCAAAATGTTTTGTACATACCGGTAGTTCAAACATCAATGCTTATAATCGGAGATATGCTGCAAAATTGGCTACCCTTAGTGTCGTAGGATAGGTCTTAATAGGTTTATGTTAACTTGTGCCTGAATGTATTTAGCTTATTGTTGCTGTACAAGGATTGTACTTGCTGAAATTTGTAATTGTTATTTGTATTGTGTGCACATGTTTTCTGTATATCCTCCATCTCCAAATCTGTATGTGTTAGCTTTCAATTCAAACTATAACTGTGAATACAACTCTTTGTTTTGTCATCTTGTTCACTGCAAATCACTTTTATTTCGTGAGAGAAAGAGTTAAAAACTATGGATTCTTGTGATTGACATTTTTATTTTAATATTGAAACATGCTCAAAGAAACGTAATCTCTTCAGTTTGGGTATGGTGTTGAGATGATTTAAATTAATGTGCTCAAACCATGTTGTTTATAATATTTTTTGCATTTATTTCACACTTGGAAACTTTTGTTTGCGAAATAGGGGGTCAATATTTAAAGAAGCGATTACATGATCTTCTTTGCACACGTTTTAATTAATGGTCAGGCAAGGAGCCATCATGACTTGAACAAAATTTGGTCCCAGGTAACACATTGAAAATGATCAATCACAAACATTTCTCTTAGCAAAAGTTGAATGGCTTACAGTGATTTGCTTACTAACTTTTATTTTTGTACTAATATTTACTTTTGTAAAGTTTTATGACAGTGATCAGTGTGAGATCAGTTGTCTTCATGGAAAGTGCCCTCTACGGTGGTGTTCAAAAAATATATAACTCAACACCAGAGGGCGCATTTTTATTTACAAGTCAACTCTAGAGGGCACTATTCGTATTATTCTAACTAACCAGTGTTTTCTTTGTACAGCAATGTGTTAGAGTTGGTAGAAATGTAACAAATTCACTGCATGACATAGTGGTTACTTGAAATGATGTCTCAATAATGACACAGTTACAAAATATGTAATGAAATACTCGTTTAACATGGGTGTTATTTCATTAATGTAGTCTATGTTAATTTCTTGTAAAGGATTCTTTAAAAATTTGGAAAATAATTATGTGTTTGTTGCAAAAATTGAATTTGTTAATTCCAGAAATTGGTAAATCAATTTTGAATGGTGTTATAGTGTATTCTAGGAGTAAAATTCTGTGCAATGCTGTTATACAAACACAGTCCATGTGTAATGTAATGCAATTTTCAAGCCACCTCTGGGCTCTATTTAACTATACAAAAAATCTATAGTATCATTGTCAATAACAATATCAACTAATTTTTTGTAGTATTAGCCTAAGTTACTAACATTAACAAATCTGTATTTAAAGCCATGTCCCTAATAAAAGCCGCACCATGATTTTTGATCAGTCAATTTTTGATGATTTTCTCATGTGTGGATGCTGTAATAGAAGCTGCATCTTCTCTGTTTTATTGCACCATTTTAATAGGAACTGCTCCTTTTAATACAGATTTCACAGTAATATAAGACAAATCTAGGCAGGATACTGAGCACAATTAATTTAAACTAACTTAAAGCCTGTAGAATCATATGATCAATATTGTATCATTTCTATTTACAGCAAGTGGGGATAGACAAAGGAGAAATTCCAGATCTTGCAAAGGTATGTATGAAATTACCGTAAGTGTTATTTATAATATCTGGGGAGAAATAAACAGCACATGTACTCCATGGATAAATGTCCCACTATCACATTAGTGCATGTAGCTTTCTAACTGTACAGATGAAATGAAGGTTAGTGTAACAAAATAACCATGGTGACAGCATCTTTGATGTGTATATGCATCCTACAACAGGGGTTTTTCTAGTAAAAATGAACAAGAGAGAGCACACACAGGCGGATCGACCTGGAAACGCCATATCTGAAGGTTTTTGCGCTGTTTTATGACTTTTATGCAGTTCAGTAAGAGGGCGCCAGCCGAGAGTTTCAGGGCACTGTGTCCCTGTTCCCCGGTTTAGAAAAAAACCCTGCTACAATGTTTTCATTACTGTATTGTAATTTCTACTTACAACACATTTCTACTTACAACACATTTCTACTTACAACACATTTCTACTTACAACACATTTCTACTTACAACACATTTCTACTTACAACACATTTCTACTTACAACACATTTCTACTTACAACACATTTCTACTTACAACACATTTCTACTTACAACACATTTCTACTTACAACACATTTCTACTTACAACACATTTCTACTTACAACACATTTCTACTTACAACACATTTCTACTTACAACACATTTCTACTTACGACACATTTCTACTTACGACACATTTCTACTTACGACACATTTCTACTTACGACACATTTCTACTTACGACACATTTCTACTTACCACACATTTCTACTTACGACACATTTCTACTTACGACACATTTCTACTTACAACACATTTCTACTTACAACACATTTCTACTTACAACACATTTCTACTTACAACACATTTCTACTTACAACACATTTCTACTTACAACACATTTCTACTTACAACACATTTCTACTTACAACACACTTCTACTTACAACACATTTCTACTTACAACACATTTCTACTTACGACACATTTCTACTTACGACACACATTTCTACTTACGACACACATTTCTACTTACGACACACATTTCTACTTACGACACACATTTCTACTTACGACACACATTTCTACTTACGACACATTTCTACTTACGACACATTTCTACTTACGACACATTTCTACTTACGACACATTTCTACTTACGACACATTTCTACTTACGACACATTTCTACTTACGACACATTTCTACTTACGACACATTTCTACTTACGACACATTTCTACTTACGACACATTTCTACTTACGACACATTTCTACTTACGACACATTTCTACTTACGACACATTTCTACTTACGACACATTTCTACTTACGACACATTTCTACTTACGACACATTTCTACTTACGACACATTTCTACTTACGACACATTTCTACTCACGACACATTTCTACTCACAACACATTTCTACTCACAACACATTTCTACTTACAACACATTTCTGGGTATAAGTGGCTACATTCTCATGGGAATATTATATTGTGTAATAACATTTCTTATAGAAAACAAAACATGTATATACTGTGAAATACTTTATTTCAGCTGGAATTAATTTTCGCTGAAAAGACTTTTTGGATGTTTTGTAGGGAATTTATTTTCACTGACTGTTGTCGAGTTTATTGTAAAATATAGGAATAAAGGTATATTCGCTGGATTTGATTTTCACTGAATCATTCCTACAGCGAAAATTAATTCCAAGCGAAAATAAAGTATTTTACAGTAGTTTGGCTATATATCGTTAGTTTCAGACATTTGCCAAGGTGTATTTTCATGTTATAGTCGCTATATGTTATACAGTTATTTTAACGTACTAACGTTATCTTAGAGTGCACAATGGGATTCATTTCCCTGACATACTAGTTTACAGTAGTTTTCGTATTACTGTACTCATTCATCAAATCCGATATATCTCATGACCACTCAGTGGATATCTTCTCTATATACTTCGTAGCTGACCATATCAACGACTTCTACTGAAGTTGACCCATTTATTTACTCGTCTGTGGTGAGCTCACACTATCTATAAATGGACATGTCTGTATTCAGGTTTACAAAATCGATAGAATCTAAGTTATTGCTGTGTGTGATATCAGAAAGGCTGAAAAAAATGTGTTTGTTTGTGATATACAGTATATGTTCTATTTGAAGTGTATGCTTTTTACTAAATCCATAGACCAATAATGTGTAACGAAGGAAGGTCTAAATTACTGTTAAAAAATGTGTAAAAGAGCAGACAAATGTATAGTTGGTATGTGGCTGGGATTTTACAAACTGTACTTTTATCAGAGATAAATTTCAAGTGAATAAAGAATGTGCACATTCTAAGCTCAATTTAAGAGTTTCCCATGGCAACAGATGCTACTCCATGTACCAGCTTCTTCATTGTATGCATCTCCATTTTTGATGAGCAAATATGGAATAGTCACTTAATAATTCAGTGGGAAGCAATTGTTGATGTGATTATGTGAGTATACTTTTTGTGAGACATGTAGGGGTAATCCACTTTGATAAAGCATGTAGTGCATTTGAGTCCTGTATCCAAATTGGTGAAAAATGCAGAATATTGGGTTACAAAGTAATTTGGTTCATTCATGTAAACAACACATTGTCAAATCAATGGCGTGAGTCTGTTCCCAAATATTGACTAATCTAAACCCTGTTTGTTTCTATGTTGCATTCTTTATTATTATATATTCACCATGTGTGCTGTTGAATTTTAAAACATTCTCCCTGAAAAGATCTGTATTGTCCTCGGACGTCGAGACTGTGTGCAAAAATAAAAAAAATATGTCAAGATTTGAGGCCAGGTCAGTGCACTAGCCAAGATCTCGTAAATTGACTTTACCAGAAAAGTATGTGTAAGAATCAAAACCATGCTTCCTGAGGTCCAGGTATGTCGGGACAGTGTAACTTTTAGTGTGGCTTGTGCACCTCTTCTCTCCCCCTTGGGTGAGAATTTGTACTACAAAAAAGTGCCACAGATGTGGGGAATGGTGGAGGTTGTTCTTGAGATACAAAATGTATTAGTATTTACACTGTGTGCCACATTGACTGGTACAACTATGAAAAAAGTTTGTAAACTATTAATTAAGCAAAGGATTTTTGTTGTGTGATATTTGTTTAAAACTACAGGTGCTGAAGCCATTACCAGACATGCAAGGTGGTGTGAGTTTATTACTTTATTTTAATTATTCTTTGACGACTTGTTTTGTCAGCCAAAATAAAAAATAAAATCTGACGTCCCAGAGATTGTTTTCTAAATCAGAACCTGTGTAGTATATCCCACACCAGTGATTGCTGTCGTAGGACATGTATGTAAATGTCTTGAAATGGGTATAGTGCGAAATAATACTAGATCTAGCCCATTTAACACATGTACATACCTCCATAGACATCCAAATAAAAAATCTTGTCACAGTGATTATGATTACTACGGTAATAATCTTTTAAACGGCTAAGCCAACTTTTGTTTTGTTTCACAAAAAAAACATCCTGAGAAGTTTTCGAAAACAATATAAAAATATCACATCAACACGCATCAAAAGGTTGAACAATATTTGGCTACACTAAACAAGTCGCTGTGTTTTATTTTCCTACTTTTAAGTGATATATAGATTTACATTTACGTGGTGATCACTAACAAGGGAGCGGCTTTTTTCACGTTTTCCTTTTCTTTTTTTTAATCAGTGCTCTGCATCGTTTCATTCTTATTATATTTTCTGAGCTGATTAAAAAGCAGCTGTACTAATCTCACACCATATTTCATGTCTGGCTCACTCCGTTTTCAAAATGGCTTGGTACAGGTGGCTATTCCATGTGCTGTCCACTTCGTTTTTGTAGTGGCTTGGTACAGGTGACTATTCCATGTGCTGTCCACTTCGTTTTTGTAGTGGCTTGGTACAGGTGGCTATTCCATGTGCTGTCCACTTCGTTTTTGTAGTGGCTTGGTACAGGTGGCTATTCCATGTGCTGTCCACTTCGTTTTTGTAGTGGCTTGGTACAGGTGACTATTCCATGTGCTGTCCACTTCGTTTTTGTAGTGGCTTGGTACAGGTGACTATTCCATGTGCTGTCCACTTCGTTTTTGTAGTGGCTTGGTACAGGTGGCTATTCCATGTGCTGTCCACTTCGTTTTTGTAGTGGCTTGGTACAGGTGGCTATTCCATGTGCTGTCCACTTCGTTTTTGTAGTGGCTTGGTACAGGTGACTATTCCATGTGCTGTCCACTTCGTTTTTGTAGTGGCTTGGTACAGGTGGCTATTCCATGTGCTGTCCACTTCGTTTTTGTAGTGGCTTGGTACAGGTGACTATTCCATGTGCTGTCCACTTCGTTTTTGTAGTGGCTTGGTACAGGTGGCTATTCCATGTGCTGTCCACTTCGTTTTTGTAGTGGCTTGGTACAGGTGGCTATTCCATGTGCTGTCCACTTCGTTTTTGTAGTGGCTTGGTACAGGTGACTATTCCATGTGCTGTCCACTTCGTTTTTGTA